TTTAACTATATAGTAAAAGTTACAGTAAAAAAAATTTAAGTAAATTATTAATATATTAATTTAAGTATAACCAATCTCATATCAATGTAATATTAATAAATTTTCAAATACTAAGTTTCTAATTTAAATTATATCATACTTATACTAATCATTTAAAAATTCTGTAAAGGATTAAATTTAAATTAAATATATAAAAAATTTAGTATTATAAAATCAATTAAATAGAGAAGAAAATTCCACATATAGAAAACATGTAACAGGGAGAGAAATTACACATCTAGAAAAAAAAATATATATATATATATATATATATATATATATATATATATATATAATGTGTGTGTATAAAAAAGACAGGCAAATATTTATAGTTATATAGGTTGAAGCAGTGATTTTTTTTTCTCACAAGCAAAAAGACCCCATCCACCTAGACCAGTTTTGGTTCCTTGTGACTGTCGACTTTTAAAAAGGCCATTAGTATGAAGGAAACATAGATAGTTATATGGTCTAACATTTTTTACATTTATGGGGTAAGAGAGCTCAATATCTGAGAAAGAACATTTGTTAATATAAAAAGTGTGGACATAGAAATCAACACTGCATGGTGACTGTCAATGTTCACACCAGGGCTCAAGATTAATGTTATTCTATTGTCTTAAGGATGATAGAGCATTAATTTCAAATGACTGGTTAGATTTTCTGTGACAATGCTAGGACTATAAAATTTCTAAATTAAAATATATATTGTAAAACCAACTAATTTCCCAAGAAAAAAAAAAAAAAAAGAAAAAAAGTTGACTTACTTTTAACCAAGGGTGGCGAGCTTTTAATATCTAGAGTAAAAATAAAAAATAAAATAAAATAAAAAAATAATTAAGCACTTCTATTTAGCCATAGAGCACTAACCATCAATTAAAGTTACACCACTACTAGCCATGGGTACATCATACCTGATTTTGAAAATATCAAAAAAAAAAAAAAAAAAAAAATTAAATATAAATCTTTATTTGAAATATTTTACATGCAGGCACTTCAAAATTTGTATTTAACATTAATAGGAACTGAAAAACATTATTTAGGTAAAAAAATCAGGTACTGAAAATTGTAATCAAAAATAGGAAAATTTGTGCTGGGTACTATATACCCATGGTTAGTGTTCTAGGGTTAACCATGTGATTAAAACTCAAATGAAAAATGAAGGTTGAGGGATTTAAATCTAGATATTTTTATTATTGTTAAATGTGAAAAAAAGTTTAGGATCTAGATGTACAAACTAATTCTGTTTTTATGGACAAAGCAAGAAAATAATATTTTTTAAATCAATTTTTGGTTAAAAAATTCAAATGAATAATTAAAGAACATTTATGCGTTGTTTTCTGTTTATCATAAACTAAATTGAAAACTAAGAATTTAAAAGAGAATAAACATGGAAAATTTTATGATGATACAAAGCAGGAAACTTGAAATTTTTTTTTTTTTGATTCTGTTTAGATTAAATGCCCAAATATTCTTAATATAGAAAATGAATGCATAAAGCATAATTCTTAATCCTTTGAACCCTGCGTTCCTGAACAATTTTAACCCTTTTGGCTGAACTCCTGTGTCAAAATTTACAAATAATTACTATGTAATATTTCACGATAGATATAAAAATAGTTACAAAAAATATAAGCATTATACTTAGCAGGGAGAGAGTAGGATCGCATGTCTTCGGTTTATCGCCAGAATTCTTTCTTTGTGTCCCAGTCTACCCAAATAAAGACAACGAAAATTTCCATGCTTCTTTTTTTTTTTTCTTTTTAACCCTTTGAGCCCTGTGTTCCTGAACAATTTTAACCCTTCTGCCTGAGCTGCTGAGTCAGAAATCACAAATAATTTGTATGTAATGTTTCACAGTAGATATAAAAATAGTTACAAAAATATAACTTCCTGATTGCTTCCTTCAAGGTTCAGGTTGAGACTCTGCACACTTTATAGTAAAAGTGACTTTTTTCTTTTTATCACATTTTTAACGCATGCACAAAACACAATGTAAAAGGTGCAGACATGTTGGAATAACAGTCAATGATATCAAAATATTACAGCTTTCAGAACAAGACAACTAATAGCAAAACATGATAAGTGTTTACCCACTGTTCAACCGGTGGCTAGGCATTAAGTCAATTTACTACTGTTCAACTAGTGGCTGAGCATTACATCATTTTTCTCTACCACTGGCAAAGCAGTGGTCAGGGGCTCAAAGTGTTAAATTAAAGTCTGATAAAAGTTACTCTGAGCATGAAAATTAATAAGAACATTTCCATATAAGATTACTCAGGGTGATTGAACTGAAATGTTTAAATTAGGGACCTCTAAAGAAAAAAAAAAAAAGAAGTGATATCATGATGGAAAAAAAAGGCCCAAAACTTAATGAAAATAAAGTTTTATCTTCAAAATGTTTATGTTATTATTAAGAGGAAAGAGCAAAGTATTTTTTTGATTATTTTATTAAATTTTTTAATCTTTTCTAGCATGTTTGAAATTTTGGTTAAAAATCTTTTTCTGGCATCATCAGGTATGTCAAATCTCATTTAAATAAACAAAATTGGGATTTTTATAAAATTTACAGAAAAATTAAGCAATTTCTTTTTGCATTTATTCTTTTTCAAAACTTTAATATTTTTTAAATTTTGTTTCTTATACATTTTAATGTGTTTATTGTGCTACTAACAACTACTGATGACCACAATGTTAAAAAAAAAAAAAAAAGAAGATTTTTAATGATTTATCTATATTTTGTTTGTATTTACAAATATCAAGTTTGGAATTATTATGAATTAGGAAAAAGAACATTAACAGTAGTACACAGTTATTGAAGGCATAAGCACAGTTTGAAAACTTGAAATTTGTAAATAAAAACAAGGTAGAGATAACTCTTTAAAAAGTCAGGGGTTGATTTGATACTGTATTTAGATTATGGACAAGACCTGTCAAAAAAAAAAAAAAAAAAAATCAATATTTTTTATTTTGGCAAAATGGCTTGGTTTAAGGAAGGTCAAATGAATACTAATCTGCAAAAATGATACAAGTCGGCCAATTAACTTATGTAGACTTGGAATGTTTTGAACTTGTAAGATACTGGTATATGGAAGAGGAAGTTCTTCTGCATGTGGCATATTTTCCTGACCTGGCCCCTTCAGAATAGTGTTTCAATTCCTGTAATACTCCTTGTCTAGCCAGAGGTTCTAACAGGTTGAATATACTGAAGACGACGACAAAAAAAAAGAAGAAAAAAAAGAAAAAAAAAAAAAAGAGTGGAAACATTCTTTTATGACAGAAAACATAACTTAAGTGAATGGTAATTGTAGAGTGAGTGGACATGGTTAAATGTAAATAAATGGCAGAAGTACCCAACAAACAGAATTGACAAAGTTTGCAATAAGCAATGACAAAAAAAAAAAAAAAAAAAACGGAAAAGAAAAGCACACGGTAAAATATAATCTTAAACAAGCAAACAATATTATACAAAGCAAATTAACAGTAACAAGGCAAAGCAACTAAGATGGTAAAAAGTTTACAAACACTGGTTGCTTGGTCCATGAAGGCCAAATGTTTCCTTATAAGGAAACATCTAATATTATCAATCATCTTTTACTAATTTTCTTATTAGGGAAAAAAAGTAATTCATGGCAAACAGACATTTTTTTTCTTACTGTCTTTGATGGCATGCAAAAGCCATCTGTAGACTGAGTAGCCATAGTTAAATGTAAATAAATGACAGAAGTGCCCAACAAACAGAATTGACAAAGTTTGCAATGAACAATAACAAGAAAAAAGAAAAGAGCAGAACAGGACAAAAAATATATATGCAAATCGTAAAATGTTTATATGTATCTTGTTTGTATTCATCGCCCCCCCCCTAGAACGAGGGGGATTAGGGGAGGAAAAATGAATGCACTCATTAATTCAATTGAGTGAGGGGTGGTTTCCAATCCTGATTGGGAATGACAGCAAAAAACTTTCCCCTCCCCAATTTATAGGTTGATAGCACAGGATTGGGGCCAACAGTATATGTAAAATCATATAAAGCCAGGAAAAACATTTTGATGATTAAATGAAGATATACAAATGTACTCATCTTTCCAAAAGCGCCGGAAACTTTTGCATCCCTGAAACATAATCTTAATACCTGTGGACAATATCAGTTGTTCGGAATGTGACATAGTTCAATAAGGCTGAAAGCAGTCAATGATTGCTAAAACAAGAAACACAGGATCTAATTTAGGCCAAGATTGTTTTTACGAAAAAGACCAAGCAACAAGTCGAGGGGCGTAACAACATATTTCTTAGAGGCAAGCCAGTTGAAGGAAATTTTATTTTCTTTGCTCATTCCCTTGGAAAAAGCTTGCCAGAATTATGGATTCTGAGTCCAGTTCAAAAGCAGCCTGAATCTATTTTCAGTGGAGAGACCGTCAAAAACTGGAGATTTCTTTTGTAAAAGAAACAACGGCTAGAAATCCAAATGAATAAAAGGTCAATAAAGGAGGAAGGGAGAAGAGAAAAATGGCAGAAGAAAAAAAGAAACCTTAGAAGATAAGAAAAGGAAATAGAGAACAAATATGAGAGAGAGAGAGAGAGAGAGAGTAATATGATGAGTAAAGGAATAAAAAAATGAAATGAAATTAAAAAAGGTGTTTAAGAGGGAGAGAGAGAGAGAGAGCATAGGGAGGGTTTAAAGTTAATGAATTATTTTCTTATGGCAACTCAAGTGTAAGAACTAAGGTGGTGATAAAAATTAAAGAATTTCAACAGCTTGCGTATCAAATGGACAATCAAGTGAGAAACAAGGCAAGATGAAGAAAAAAAAAAAAAAGAGGATGAATTAGGTTATTCAATTAGTAAAGGGAAAGTATTCTTTTAATATATTTGGGAAGAAATTGAAAGAGGGGGGACAGAAGAAAGGAGAGAAAGGGATAACAATAGTTGTGGGGAGTAGGAAAAGAAAAAAAAAAAAAGGGAAGTCAGGGCAAGAGGATAAGAAGAAAAGGAAAAAACAAGATAAAGGAGAACAGGAAAAGTGATAAGTATGAAGAAGGAAAAAAACAGGAAAAAAGGGGAGTCAAGTAAGAAAAAGGGGAGCAGGAAAAGTGATAAGTATGAAGAAAAGGAGAAAAAAACAGAAAAAGAGAAAGGGGAGTCAGGGTGAAGAAAATGGAGCAGGAAAAGTGGTAAGTATGAAGAAAAAAAGAGAAAAAGAAAAAAAAAGGGGGAGCCAGGGAAAGAGGATAAGTGTGAAGAAGAAAAGGAAAAAAAAAAAACAGAAGAGAAAGGGGAGCAGGAAAAGTGATAAGTATGAAGAAAAAAAGAGAAAAAGAAAAAAAAAGGGGGAGCCAGGGAAAGAGGATAAGTGTGAAGAAGAAAAAAAAAAAACAGAAGAGAAAGGGGAGCAGGAAAAGTGATAAGTATGAAGAAAAAAAGAGAAAAAGAAAAAAAAAGGGGGAGCCAGGGAAAGAGGATAAGTGTGAAGAAGAAAAGGAAAAAAAAAAAACAGAAGAGAAAGGGGAGCAGGAAAAGTGATAAGTATGAAGAAAAAAAAAAAAAAAAAAAAAGGGGAGCCAGGGAAAGAGGATAAGTGTGAAGAAGAAAAGGAAAAAAAAACAGAAGAGAAAGGGGAGCAGGAAAAGTGATAAGTATGAAGAAATGGAAAAAAACAGAAAAAAAAGGGGGGAATTAGGGAAGAGAAAGGGGAGCAGGAAAAGAGGATAAGTGAAGAAGAAAAGGAAAAAAAAATGCTTTGGTGATTGTACACGTCTTTGGGTGTCTATCATATTCTGTAATTTCAAACTGGGCACTTCATTCAATCCATGGGGATTCAACTCTAAATTTTCTGAAAGTTTCTAAAATCCAATAGGACTTTGGATACTTCTAAAATCTACATGATCCCAGAAGAGATATTGATCTGTACAGAATCAATAGGTAGTTAATAAACAAGACAAACGAATTGATTTCGTTTCATTGTTTATTAAACACTAGAATATTACTTTTCCAGTTTGAAGTTTAGTTGCCATCTCTGGATATAAGATGAAAAAAAAACAACATAACTTGGTAAAGACTGATAATATCAGAGTCTGTGTGTGTATGTACATACATATATATATATATATATATATATATATATATATATAAATAAAAAAGGATCATATGTATCTTATATATACATTTGTTTGTTTATTAGAGGCATTTTGTGAACAGACACCACAAATATATGAGCAATTATAATACATTTATTATTATTATAAATGAGAAAAAATATTTTACAAAAATAAATCTGAAGTCATTTATAGCAAAGCACAGAAGTAACATCTCATGTATACACAGGCGCCTAGATCTTAATATCAGTTTATACTGTGCCGATGATCAAGCATTTACATTCGAAATATATGGAACATAGTAATTCAGGTGCACCTGTGTTAGTACATAATGCAATAAGTCGATTTTGTAGAAAGCAAGTTTCCTGATAATTAGGGGTTTCCTATTAAATATTTATGGTTTGTTTGTTTGACAATTGAGCCATCACATCATATATATATATATATATATATATATATAAATAAATAAACTTTAAAAAGTTCAACGATAATTCTTCTGCCACCACTTAATTTAAACACAATTTGATGCATGTAGGTCTTTGCTTTCTATACAAACAATTATTTTTATTTCACTGGTGACTTTTGCAATTAATTTCAATTATTCACAAATTTTTTCCCCCAAGATATAAGAATTGTTATCGTACAAAAAATTTGTTGCTAAAAATCATGTACAAAAATAAGCATGGTAATGAAAACTTGGGAATCCAAAATTTCAGGATTGCAAGTTTGGATCTGGCTTGAAAAGTTTTTAATTTGCTCATGGAGTCAGCCTGATTCCAAAATGGTATGATATGTTGGGCTATGGCCTCTAGGAGTAAAGTTGAAAACACAGACAATTTTATTTTGAAACTGTAATTTTTCATTTGAAATGAGTTATTGAAAGTTAGGAGAGTTGTGTCCTTTAAGTTGAAAAAGTCTGACACATTGACATTCACATATATATATATATATATATATATATATATATATATATATATATGCATGACAATTTATCCATCACACACTCTATGAACCCATAAAAACTGGATCAAATGTATGCAGAATATAAGACGTAAATACACTGTGTTTGCAAATCTTTCAGGCTTTTTCCTTTCGCAATCTGAAATGGTCTTTGCAAATAAAATATTGAGGTTGTATTAAAAGATAGTACTGTTCACCTCACAACAGTGTCACAAGCATTTTCTTGTAAGGTTGGTCTTCAAGTTCAAACATCAAATAAACTGAAAGCCAGGCACATGATAAGAAAAGGTTTTGGTGCCAACTGGTTTAGGTTAATTGAAATGAATTCACTCGATGGAATTTTAATCTTTGACTGGCATAGAAAGTGAGAAAGGTTTCTTGTGTTCTTTGGAAAAATGACATTCCCCACTTGGGTCAAAACTCAAAGTATTAAAACACATGCGGTAAAAGATCTAATGACAAAAAAATAAAAGAAAAAAATACATTACAGAAGAACACACTGAATGCATACAATATATATCTAAACTGGGTATGTCCACTATTTCGGCATAAATTTTCTATATTGAAGTTTAAAATGAATTTTTTACAATGAAAAAACATTCTTGAAGATTTCATTTTAGCTTTAATTGAAAGTTTAATAACTAAATTTACGATTTCTATTAATTAAACAATTCTGGTGTATTTCAGATAGAAACTATATACATTTGATTGTCAAATTTAATTTCAAATTTTAAATTTTCTTAAAACGGCCATTTTCTTAATTTTAAGAAATTTGTAAACAAACACAAATTTATCGATTTTTAAAATATTTAAAAAAAAATTCTGACACGTTATTTTAGTAAAATTAAAAATTTAAAGTTAAAGTAATCTGATTTCAAAGAAATCTTTGTTACTTATAGCATAAAAAATAATATACAAGCAATTATTTACGAGCGGTCTCGTTCATCTGTTCGATCTTATTGATACTGGTTGATTGACGAGCCGATAACAACTACTACTGATGACCATAAATGACATAATTTTTAAGTCTGAGTTTAAAAAATTATTCTATTTTAGTATGACACACACTAATGGAAATACAATACATAAAATAAAATTATTTAGTGAAATAGTAAATGAAAAAAGAAAAAAATAATTTAAAATTTAAAGTTTACACTTTTTACAGCTGATCGGAAAATACAATCTGTTAATAAACGAAATGTTTTGAAAAAACCACGTAAAGGGACAAAACCCTTAGATCACGTGACCTTGTTATAATAATGGCAATTTCTGTATATCATACATGGAAATAAGGAATGTATTAAGTAAAAAAAAATACAACATAAAAAATTATTTTAAAAAAAAGTAGCTCAACTAAATTTATTAAACTTAGCAAATTTGGATTAAGTAAATTTTTTTTTCTACTTAATTACTACATAATATTGAGGGGCCCTCCTAATACAGAGCTTTACGCGATGTTAAACTATTATAAATTATTATAATTAAAACTTCTTAAAAAACGAAAAAATTCTTGTAAAAATTAATTATTCATCAGAAAAAATTATTTCTTCAGACAATAATGTTCTTAATATTACTTATTTACAAAAGCAATTAAAAGCTTTTCTAATTAAGTAATATCATAGTTTTATTGGATTCATTATTTTTCAATTCAGACAAGATTTTCAGTTAAGTAGCTCAAATTTGTGAAAGAAAAAGTAGGTTATTTACCATCTCCAAAGATTCCTTCTTTTAACAAAAAATAAAATTGAGGAGCAAAAAAGTTTTTGGGCGAAATTTCATGAAATTAACTAAGTGGGGGTAACATATTTAAAAAAAATATTTTTACCAAAATTTTCTAAAAACAAAATATTTGAAAAATAATTTCATTCATTTGTGAATAAGTCCTGAAAATTTCATTAAGATTGGACAATTATTCTATTTTACAAGAATTTCCAAATCAATATATTTTCAACGGTAAAAAACGCAAAAAAAAAACTATGTTATTTAAAAGGTCGCGATGATGACGTAAACAAAGACGACTTTAACCAAAATTTCGAACGTGTTAGAAAATATTAAAAAATTCAAAAAATAATTAAAAAATACTTTTTTCTTTCATCTTAATAATAAGATAAGCATTTTAACGATAATACTTTATTTTCTTTAAGTTTGTGGCATTTTTCATTTACGCTATGCTGTTTTTCCGCGAAAACAGTGGACATACTTAATCTAAACAGATGTATATTTCTAAGCCATAATATTTTTCAGTTGCAATCCAAGAGACTTGGAATAAAAAGGCCATTGCATCCCCTGCTAAAGGTTGCACTGTCTTAGTGTTCAGTTCTTTCGTTAGTATAATCCTTGTTAACAGGTTCTTCAAGAAACAAATGTAAAATATTATCTGAAATAACAGTCTCAGTATTTGCACCAACATCTTTTATAAATTTGACATTCTAAAAGTTAATTTTTTTTTTTTTATCAGTATTTACTCTCCTATTGCTTACAGTACAGTGTTTCCAAGCAGTCCCCCATCTAAGTACTGACCAGGCTCAACACTTCTTAAATTTGGTGATCAAATGATGTTTACAGCCTGACTTGACCATGTTAGTTTCAATCTCTAGGAATGGCTGCTAAGAATATTCCCCTCCCCAAATTTATAAACAAATCCTACAGATGCATGCTGGGATTTCTTCCTACCCAATAAAAATGGACCACTTCTTGGTCTCATCTGCCATATTTTTTTGTTTTTTCTTGGCTTGAAGCCAGAACTCTATAAACACTTAACTGTATCCCTTTTGCATGTGACCATGATTCTTCCTTTACAAACTTTTTTGCCTTATTACTGTTGCTCCGCCTAGTTTTGACTTGCACGTTTGTTTAGTACTATTGTCCTCTTCTTTTTCTTTCTTTTCTTATTGTTTATTGGAAACTTTGTTGGATTTTTTAATAGATTTTAATGGATTTTTTTTTTTTTACCCAACATTATTTCTTGTTGCTATGAATGTTATTTTTAGTGGGTACATGTATTTGAATTGCTATTCCAATTTTCGGCTATAGAAGTGGTTTCAGTGATAGGAAAAGAGGATACTGGTTTGATTCCTGTTGCAGTTACAATCTTTCTCTAGTAGAACATTCAATCTAGGCTGGTTGTGATTAATTTCACTGTTTAAGAGAAAAAAAAAAAGAGATGGCAACTCAAATATGTACACCCACTAAAAATAACGTTTAGAGTAAGAATCTTGTAGGTAAATTATAGTTTACACACTGAAAAGTGTCTGAAGAATCAGAATCGCTTTTTTCAATAATTTTATCCCAAGGCAATAAAGCCACAAACATGCAAGGAGAGTTGGGGGGGGGGAATGTGAAATAATAGAAGAAAGACACTATTAAATAGAGAGAACAATAGAAAAACAAGAATTAAGACAAGATAATGATTGATATTGCATTTAAGTTTTTGAAGATCAAAGTTGGCTGGAAAGTAAGAGACTGGAAGAAATTTCCACAAGCGAGAAGTGTGAGAAAACTGTTAGCATAGAACTTAGTTACATCTAGCCATTTCAACTACAAAATTAGGAGACCTAGCTGCCAATCTAGTACTGCACTTAAATTTGTAAAGTCAAGGTACCAAAGAGTAAAAGAAAAAAACATTAGAAACTAAATGATAGAAAAAAGACATGATAGGAAAAAACAAAGTTTGTGATTTATATGTTGTGGTTTAAACTTAATTAAAAAAAATGTTAGAT